TAGTAGTAGTGGGAGTAGTGGTATTGGGAGTAGTTTTAGTAGTCCTGGTCGTCGTCGACGCAGTCGCAATCGTAATAGTCGTCGTAGTCGTATTAGCAGTAGTAGTAGTAGTAGTTAGTAGTAGTAGTAGTAGTAGTAGTAGTAGTAGTAGTAGTAGTAGTAGTAGTAGTAGTAGTAGTAGTAGTAGTAGTAGTAGTTGTGGTGGTTGTGGTAGTAGTAGTAGTAGTAGTAGTAGTAGTAGTAGTAGTAGTAGTAGTAGTAGTAGTAGTAGTAGTGGTGGTAGTAGTAGTAGTAGCAGTAGTAGTAGTAGTTAGTAGTGGTAGTAGTAGTAGTAGTAGTAGTAGTGTAGTAGTAGTAGTAGTAGTCGGAGGAGGAGGAGGAGGAGGAGGAGGTGAGGGAGGAGGAGGACGACGAGGGGGTCGTGACGAGGCAGGAGGAAGGAGGAGGAGGGGAGATGAGGAACCGGAGGAAGCAGGAGCAGAGGAAGCAGGAGCCGAGGAGGAGGAGGGAGGAGGTGGAGGGGAGGACGAGGAGGAGGAGGAGGAGGAGGCGGACTCCATGGGAGGAGGGCAGGTTCACCGCCGAGGAGGAGGCCCTGAGGTCGGCCCTCATCGACTTCCTGGCCACCTGGAAGTCGGCGGAGCTCCCCGCCTCCCCCCCCCTGCTTCATGCCACAGACTCGCTTTCTATCCCCCTCGCCCTCCCTCCCTCCTCCTCGCTTCCTCCTCCTCCTCCTTCTCCTCCTTCTCTTCGTCCTCCTCGCCCCTCATACCTTCACCTTGACAGCCTGTCCTCCTCCTCCTCCTGCTCCTCTCTCCTCCCACCTTGGCCGCGGCGATCCGCTTTTTCTTCAGCGCCCTCGGTCCGAGAACCCGTTCTTCCTAGCCACAGCGTCGGGCGGTGGGGAAGAGCAGACGCGCCTGACGCGCCCACTCTGCCTCTCGCTTTGTCTGGTCTGGCGAGCGTCGGCTTGATGCTCTCTTTCACCGTCGTGGCCCGATCTCCTCTTTCGCTGGCTGCCTCTTGCAGCCTGCCTCCCCCTCCTGCAGCCCGACCCTTGCTTCCTGCCTCCTCTTGCTGCCTGCCTCCTCCCCCTTAACTCCTGCCTCCTCCCCCCTCCCACCCTTGACCGCGCCCATCCGCGTCTCAAGGGCGCCTCGCCCCGACGCCCGAGGCACCTGCGCGCGCGGCGCACGGACGCGGGACGCGCACCCTGCCGTGCCCCCGTCGGCGCTCCGCCCCTCCGGGGAGATGGCTACGCGTGAGGCGACCGGCCTGGGGCGAGGCCCAGACCCCCGACGTCGTGCTTTTTGCACCACGTCGACCCCCAGAGGTCTGGACCCTGACGCCAGATCCGCCCTGCTTTTTGGCTTTTTTCCCAACTTGAAACTGCGTCGGAAGTCCACCTATAAGAGGCCGAAAACGTAGGGCGGAAAGTGCTGCACCCAGCATGAAGTAGGGCGGAAATCCACAGAAGTAGGGCGGAAACAGCAGCAGAAAAGTAGGGCGGAAATTGGCATCAGCGGGGCTTGAAAAGTAAGGCGGGAATTCCAAGCCCTACCTACGAATTTCCCCAAAGTAGGGCGGATCCGGAGTCAGGGAGAGGTCTGGACACCTTCCCCGGGACCGGCCTGTTCATCCTGAGCCGTTCCTTAACGGTCCCGAGGCCCGGTGCGGGCCCCCGGGGGCTGAAAGTAGTGAAGAACCTCCCGTGGTGTTTTTTTCACGACGCGAGGGGGTCTGGGGAGCTGGACGCAGGCGTTGGGCCAGGCGTCAGCGCCTCAGCAGAACCAGGCAAGTTGCCCAGGGGCGGGGCCGCGGCCGTGCGAGCGCTGTGCCACTTCCGGCTTTTCTCTTGGGGGGGTCCTTTCGACGCGCGCTCGCCTGGGCCTCCTCATGGGCAACGACCGTGGGATACTCGAAAGGTGCCTCCCCCTGATGAAGCCCAGTGTCTCAGGGATTCACCAGGGACCAGCCCCCGACGTCCGCCCTGGGGACCTACCCAGACAGATGGTGTCGTTAAAAAAGCAGGGCGGGAGGTTTTTCGCTATTTTTGGCCCCGGGAGGCCCTCGCCGGGCCTCGGGACCGTCAGAAAACGAGTCATGACGAGAAGCCCGTCCCTGGGAAAGAGTCTGGGCTTCCGGGGGCGCCGTCCTGAAAAAATCAGGACGTCGCATGTCTGGGTACGTCCCCAGACATGCGACGTCCTGATTTTTTCAGGACGGCGCCCCTGGAAGTCCAGACCCTTTCCCCGGGGCCGGTTGTTCGTCCTGACTCGGTTTCTGACGGCCCCGAGGCCCGGCGAGGGCCCCCAGGGGCCGAGAATAGGGAAAAACCTCCCGCCCTTGCTTGTTTTACGACGCCATCACGTCTGGGACGCCGTGACCCCAAGGGGTCGGCGGATGTATCCGCACCCGAATGCATCCTCGTCCTGGCTTCGTCTTGCAGGGAACAAGGAGCTCCGTGCTTTTTTTACGACGCCATCTGTCTGGGTCTCCACGGGGGCGAGGCGGGCCTGCAGGGGGGCTGCCTGCCGGCACGCGCGGGCCGGCGGGCGGGGAGAGCGGCCGCTGCCCGACCCTGGCCGGGGGAAGGGCCTGCGCCTAGGGCCAGTCGAGGAGGCGCACAGAGGACAGCGCCCATGAGACCCAGACGTGATGGCGTCGTAAACAAAAATCAGGGCGGAAGGTTTTTCGCTATTTTCGGCCCCTGGGGGCCCTCGCCGGGCCTCGGGGCGGTCAGAAAACGAGTCAGGACGAAAACCGGCCCCGGGGAAAGGGTCTGGACTTCCAGGGGCGCCGTCCTGAAAAAATCAGGACGTCGCATGTCTGGGCAGAGGACAGCACCTATGAGGTGCACAGCGGGCCACGTTCGCTAGGCGGCCCCGCGTCGTACACCATCGTCGTGCGCACGCTTTGCGAGGCGACTCGCGTAGATCATCGCCGCTGTCCGCTCCCATCTCCTGCTCCTCCCCTCAAAAAAAACCCAGACATGCGACGTCCTGATTTTTTCAGGACGGCGTCCCCGGAAGCCCAGACTCTTTCCCAGGGACGGGCTTCTCGTCCTGACTCGTTTTTTGACGGTCCCGAGGCCCGGCGAGGGCCCCCAGGGGGCCGAAAATAGCGAAAAACCTCCCGTCCTGATTCTTTTACGACGCCACCATGTCTGGGAAACTTTTGCGTGCGCAGCACTGCGCTCTGGCTGACGACCCGGGGCGGGCCCGGCAACACTCACCCGGCCCGGCCCCCACGGAGGGGCACGCCGCTCGGGGGCGCCCCCGGCACGAGGCGGCCCTGGCGCCCTTAAGCGCTCGGCGCCCGTCGCCGCCCGCCCCGCCGCGGGAGACGGCCAGCACGATGCCGGGGCACCATGCATGGAGGCCTCGCCCTGCGGCCCGGCCCGGGTCTGCGTGGGCCGCCCTGACTCCTGATCCGCCCTACTTTGGGCGATTTCGAAAGTAGGGCGGAAATTTCCGCCCTACTTTTGAGGCCCCTTTGAGCGTCGATTTCCGCCCTTGAGGCTCCTTTGGCGTGGATTTCCGACACAATTTTAGGTCGGAAAATCATCCAAAGTACGGCGGATCAGGAGCCAGGGCTGCGGCCCGGCCCGGGCCTGCGTGGGCCGGAGGTTGGTCTCAGTGGCCCTCGCCCTCCACCTTCCGCACCTTCCGCGCGGCAGGTGCCGCGCCGCGGCGGACGCCGCCGCCGCCGAAACCGCTGCTGCGGCCTCGGCGGAAGCCGCCATGGCGGACGCGGCGGCGGCCGCCGTGGCGTGGAACCTGCCGCGCGGAAGGTGCGGAAGGTGGAGGGCGAGGGGGGGCTCGTGGGGGCGGGACAACTAGTGCGAGCGCTCGCGGGGCTGGGCCAGGCCGAGAGCAGCCGAGGAACCCTCTGGGCGGAGGGACGGGGGCGATCCCCAAGATCGTCTGCGCAAGGCGCCCAGATGCAAGATCCCGTGGGCGCCCCTGTGGAGCAGCGCGGAGCAGTGTCAATCGCTTGAAAGCTGCTCGTGGCGCGCTCTTCGTGGAAGGCTGGAACAGAGCTTGCGACAAGCGGGACGGGAAAGGCCACGGCAAGGGGACCTACAACTCCCGCGGTTATGCGACGACTTCAGCCGGGCCTTCCTGCGCGAACTGGCCGACGCCGACTACGACATCCGCGCCCTGTGCCGCAACCGCAACCTGGACGTCGATTGGAGCGCAGTGTGGCGGCAACAACAGGGCCGCCAGAACCTGGCGGCCGGAAAAGGGGCACGGGGGCAAACGGCCCAGCGAACTGACCTGGCCCGCTGGGGACCAGTCCCAGCTGCGTGGGCCCTAGGGGCGACAGGCGACCGTGGCCCGTCAGGTGGTGACCCCTTCGACGCGACGGCAGCCCACCGTGGCTGTGACGACTGCGTGGTGCCTTCCAACCCAGTGGGCGCCCGCGCCTTTCCCACCTGTCTGCGCACCAGTTAGGCGCTTCCCGATTTACCTGGGGTGTGACGATCGACGGCCGCGTGGCGCCTACCACCCCGGGAGGTGCCCTGCCCGCACCGTTTCCACCGATCTCCGCACTCAGTTAGGTTCGTCCCCAGCGCACCCCCCACACCAGGGGGGGGCGCTCCGCCTGGCGCCCTCCCCTCCTGTGAGAGGCGCCTTGTCCTTGTCACTCCTGTCTGCGCACCAGTGAGGTGCTCTCCCTTGGCGCGCCTCGACGACTGGTGGTGCGCCCGCCGCCTGGCCCCAGGCGCGCCATCCACCCCAGGTGGTGCACCTGGGCGCCCGGGCTGGCCTCGCCTTTCCACCTGCTTGGTCGCCACTGATAAGTGCTCTCCAGCGGGCGCGCCGTCCACCACAGAGGTGCGCCCCCACCTGGCCCTGGCGCGCCCCGCCCTGGCGGAGTGCCCCTGCCCGCCCGCCGCCAGCTGGCCAATGCCCGTCTGGCTTGCGGACGCCCCCCCCCCCCTGCCCCTGCGCGCCGACGCGGCAGCCCACCCAGGTGTCGCGACCCGCGCGTTCGGGGGCCTCTGCCCGCACGCCGTGTTCACACTGGCTGCGGGCCGCTCCCCCCCCCACGCTGGCTCCGCCGTGGTGCAGCGCCCGCCTTGCCCGCCGCCAGTCGCCGTTTTGCGCCAGCGCCCCGGGCCCCACCTCGGTCGTGTGGAGCGCTCACAGCACACCCGCTCCTGGGCTCTGCAGGCTGGCCGCTGCCCCTGCCAGCACCTCTTGCCGCCCCACCGTTGCGGCTCTCCCCCCCCGCTTTTGCCTCCCTTCCGGTTGGGAGCCCACGCCCATGTTCCACTTGCACTCGGCGCCGCCCTGTCGGTGGCTGCGTTGCGCGCACCTGCCCTGGCATGGGTTTTGCTTCTCCGCCTCCCCGCTGCCACCTCGCCCCTGCCCGGCCTGGACCGCCCGGCTGCCCTGTGGCGCTCTGCCTGCTGGCTTGCCTCCTGGCGATTGCTTCACCGTCCGCTGCACCGCGCTGGCCTGCTCAGCCCGCCGCCGCGCGCCCCAGCTGCCGCCTCCCTGCGCCTCCTGCCGGGGCGCCCCGCTGCTTGCTGGGCGCCGCCCGCACTGCGGCTGCTGGCCCCGCCCGCCCCTGGGTGCGCCCGCGACGCCGCCCCGCGCTGCTGCGAGGGGCTGCCCCGCAGCCTGGCCGCCCCGCGCGCTCCCTGTAGCGCTGCCGCGTGAGAGCGCCCCCCCCCCCTCCTCCTCCCCTCCGCAGCCGCCCTTTTCTGCCTCGCCCCCTCTCTTGTGTGCGGGACCGCTCGCAGCGTGTGCGGCGTGCGGCCTCCGAGCGCGTTTTCGGCGCGCGGCCTCGACCGCGTGCGTGTTCCTAACCTCCCACCTCATCCCTCCCACCTCTCTCTTCCTCGTTTTCCTCCTCTCCCATTCCTTCCCGTTCTTCGTTGCTCCGTTTTTCCCCCCATCACATGTTTCTCTTCCTTTTCCATTGTTCTCCTCGTTAAATATCCTCATGCTCTTCAGTCGCTTCCTCTTCCCCACTGCTTGCCAGTGCTGACTTGAGCGATTTCTGAGTAATGACTCTCATCATCCGCCTTTCTCTTCTCCTCCTCCTCCTCCTCATCATCATCATCATCAGTATCATCATCATCATCATCACCATCATCTTCATCATCATGCGATTCGTCCTCTTCGTCCTCGCCTCCTCCCTAGTCCCTCGTCCCTTCACCCCTCCTCGTCCCATTTCCTTCCTCTTGCATCCACTCACCCTGCTTATTGCTTCCTCATTCCATTTTTACCATTTACTATTGTTCATATTCGTCGTTTTCCTCCTCCTCATCATCATCCTCCTCCTGCTCCTCCTCCTCCTCCTCCTCACACTCCTTCTCCTCCTCCTTCTCCGCCTCTCCACACCTGCTTCTCTGACCCTCATGATTCTGCTCATCCTCCTGCTCCTCCTCCTCCCTCAGCAGCAGAGCTCACTGCTCCAAGTTGACCAACGACTTGTGGTGGGAATTTTGGGAGCTCTTCGATCCCCGCCCCGCCCCCGTCTTCCTCTCGCATGTTCCCTCTCGCCTCCTCGAGGACTCCCAACAGCGAGAGCGTTTCATCGATAGTTTCTGCTGAGATCATGTCGTGCCGAATCCCCTGGCTGGTGGGTTAGCTGACGATCGAGCAGCTGAGTGCCAGGTGCGTGCCTGACGACGTGGTCAGAGACCACAGCTCTGTAGTCCAGCAGGCCCGCCAGGTCTTGCCGCGGCACGCCTGTACCATTCTTGAGTGTGCCTCCCTCAGAGCCGAGCCCGACCGTCGCCTCTCGGAGCAACCCATCGGTTTTGCCCTTCGTCGGCGCCGGTGGATCGAGGCCGATGCCAGGCGTAGCTCTCATGGGCGGACCTTTTGACGGGATCGCGTGGAGTTGTACCTCGTGCCGCGCGGAGGTCCAGGACTCCGCCCCAGCTCTGCGAGCCAGGCTCGCCAGCGCTTGCCTTGCTTCGTTTGTGGAGGAGGATGTTGGTGTGAGAGTGTGAGAGTGTGTGTGTATGCGTCGCGTGCGTGCGGGGGAGGAGGGAGAACACGCGACCCATGCAAGTGGGTGAAGCCTGCTCGAGCTTGGCTCGATCGACTCTTCATGGCGGTCCCCTGGCCTCGACCCCGCTACCTGAGCGAATCGAGCCGTGGATTGCTGGCGAGCCTGTCCATTCCTCTCATGCGCTGTGGAGAAAAAGGCATCTCTGTATTTTTGTGGAGAGTGTGGTGTTTGGGCGAAGGCTCGCTCCGATTCCTTGAAAGAGCCTTGCTCAGTTGCAGAGCTATGGTCGCACGCTTTAACCAACGCTCGGCTGGAAGTCTTGTAGCGGCTGTGTAAAAGGTTTGCCGCCGTCCAAGAAAGTCAGCAGCTCGGCCGACGCCTGAATTTTCTGCCCTGGCTTTTAGTCTCTGGCTATTCGATGCACTGTAAAAATCCTCCTCCTCCTCCTCCTCCTCCTCCTCCTCCCTTCTCCTTCTCCTTCTCCTTCTCCTTCTCCTTCTCCTTCTCCTTCTCCTTCTCCTTCTCCTTCTCCTCCTCCTGCCCCTCCTCTCCCTCTTCCTCCTCCCTTTCCTCCGCCCCGACCAGGCTGTGTGAGGCATTTTTGAGGGCTGGCGCCGTGGCATTCCTGGCTCCTCCTCTCCCTCCTCTCCTCCTCGTCCTCCCTCCTCCTCCTCCTCCTCCTCCTCCTCCTCCTTCCACCTCCTCTCCACCACCTCCTCCTCCTGCTCCCTCACATCCTCGCACCTATCGTCCTCCTCCTCCTCCTCCTCCTCCTCCTCCTCCTCCTCCTCCTCCTCCTCCTCCTCCTACCTCCTCCCTCCTCTTCTCCTCCTCCTCCTCCTCCTCCTCCTCCTCCTCCTCCTCCTCCTCCTCCTCCTCTTCCTCCTCCCTTCTCCTTCTCCTCATCCTCTTCCTCCTCCGTTTCCTCCTCCTCATCGTCTTCCTCCTCCTCCCCCTTCCCTCTCTTCCAAGAGGAGCTTGCCACCTTGTCAAACGCTGGGACCGACAAGGGGGTGCAGTGGGCCAAGGGGAACCTCTTCCGCGGTTTCGATAAAGCCGTCACCATGCGTGAGTGGATCGAGAGGCGCGTGGGTTTAGAGGATGAGATGGATGAGAAGGAGGGATTGTTGGAGGAGCGATTTGAGGAGGGACAGGAGCAGAAGGAAAAGGAGGAGAAAGGATCGAGAAGTAGGGGGAGGAGGAGGAGAAGGAGGATGAGGAGGAGGAGGAGGAAGAGGAGGAGGAGGTTGAGGAGGAGGCGGAGGAGCGTGGCGGTTGGTCCAAATATGTTCGGCCAGCGTCTGTTCCACTGCTAACCTTTCTGGATCCACTGACGGCGGCAGTCGGGTAGCCTGTTGTCCAGCAGCATGGGTGCTCGGAGATAGTGTCCACCAAGGACCGTTACGGGACGATCACGCTATTTGTAGTATGGGGGCTGCATACCGTTCTTTTTACCTAACAGCTTTTGCTGATAGGTTTCTAGTGGTGTCAGAAGAGCATCTTGACGCCCCAGGGGGGTCCGGGCGGAACCCGGACAGGGAACCAGACGGATCCGCCAGCCCCAGGAAATTTAAGGAATCCTAAGAAATTCTTAGGGATCCTTAGGAATCCATTCCCAGAACACCATTCCCAGGCCACATTTTGAATGCCCGGAGCCAACTGTAGGCCACTTCGTGTTCTTCGTGTTCCCAGAACACCATTCCCAGGCCACATTTTGAATGCCCGGAGCCAACTGTAGGTCACTTCGTGTTCTTCGTGTTCCCAGAACACCATTCCTGCACCATATTTCGATTGCCTGGAGCATACTGTAAGCCACTTCGTGTTCTTCGTGTTCCCAGAACACCATTCCCAGGCCACATTTTGAATGCCCGGAGCCAACTGTAGGCCACTTCGTGTTCTTCGTGTTCCCAGAACGCCATTCCTGTACCATGTTTTGATTGCACGGAGCCAACCGTGGGCCACTTCATGATATTCGTGTTCACTTCGTGTTCTTCATGTTCCCAGAACACCATTCCTGTACCACATTTTGAATGCCCGGAGCCAACTGTGGGCCACTTCGTGATCTTCGTGTTCCCAGAACACCAGTCCTGTGCCATATTTTGAATGCCCGAGCTGAGGCAGGCTGAGGCCGAGGCAGGCTGAGGCCGAGGCAGGCTGAGGCCGAGGCAGGCTGAGGCCGAGGCAGGCTGAGGCTGAGGCTGAGGCAAGCCGAGGCAGGCTGAGGCTGAGGCTGAGGCTGAGGCTGAGTCAGGCTGAGGCTGAGGCAGGCTGAGGCTGAGGCTGAGGCTGAGGCTGAGGCAGGCTGAGGCTGAGGCTGAGGCAGGCTGATGCTGAGGCAGGCTGAGGCTGAGGCTGAGGCTGATGCAGGCTGAGGCTGAGAGGTGACGATTGAGGCTAGGCAGGCTGAGGCTGAGGTGGTCCGAGGCAGGTGAGGTGAGGCTGAGGCTGAAACGATGGCAGGCTGGGCAGAGAGGCTGAGCTGAGGCAGGCTGAGGCTGAGGGCTTTTTTTTTTATGGAGGCTGTGTCTGAGGCAACCGAGGCAGGCTGCGGGAGGCCGGCTCGAGGCTGATGATGATGCAGGCTGCTGATGAGGCTGAGGTTGAGGGTGAGGGTGATGCGCAGCACGACAGGGGCTGAGGACGAGAGGATGACGTGCGGCTGATGCAGGTTTGAGGCCTAGAGGCTGAGGCCGAGGCAGGCTGTGGCTGAGGTGAGGCTGAGGCCAAAGCCCGAGGCAGGCTAGTCTGAAGAGCTGAGGCAGGCTGAGGCTGAGGCTGAGGCTGTGGCTGAGGCTCAGGCAAGCTGCGGCTGAGGCAGGCTGAGGCTGAGGCTGATGCAGGCTGAGGCTGAGGCAGGCTGAGGCTGAGGCTGAGGCAGGCTGAGGCTGACAGATATGTTTATACACATCGCTGTTAGGTTGCTTTGCCGGGATAATTCTATATTACCTCACAGCTTTCGCTGATAGGTTTCTAGCGGTGTCAAAATATAGCATCTTGACGCCCCAGGGGGGTCCGGGCGGAACCCGGACAGGGAACCAGACGGATCCGCCAGCCCCAGGATTTTTGAGGAATCACTTAGGAATCCTTAGGGGTCCTCAGGAATCCATTCCCAGAACACCATTCCCAGGACACATTTTGAATGCCCGGAGCCAACTGTAGGCCACTTCGTGTTCTTCGTGTTCCCAGAACACCATTCCCAGGCCACATTTTGAATGCCCGGAGCCAACTGTAGGCCACTTCGTGTTTCTTCGTGTTCCCAGAACACCATTCCCAGGGCACATTTTGAATGCCCGGAGCCAACTGTGGGCCACTTCGTGTTCTTCGCGTTCCCAGAACACCGTTCTTGCACCATATTTTGATTGCCCGGAGCCAACTGTAGGTCACTTCGTGTTCTTCGTGTTCCCAGAACACCATTCCTGCACCATATTTTGATTGCCCGGAGCATACTGTGGGCCACTTCGTGTTAACTCGTGTTCTTCGTGTTCCCAGAACACCATTCCTGTACCATATTTTGATTGCCCGGAGCCAACTGTGGGCCACTTCGTGATCTTCGTGTTCCCAGAAAACTAGTCCTGTGCCACATTTTGAATGCACGAGCTGAGGCAGGCTGAGGCCGAGGCAGGCTGAGGCCGAGGCAGGCTGAGGCTGAGGCTGAGGCCGAGGCAGGCTGAAGCTGAGGCTGAGGCAAGCCGAGGCAGGCTGAGGCTGAGGCTGAAGCTGAGGCAGGCTAAGGCTGAGGCTGAGGCTGTGGCTGAGGCTGAGGCAAGCTGCGGCTGAGGCAGGCTGAGACTGAGGCTGATGCAGGCTGAGGCCGAGGCAGGCTGAGGCTGAGGCTGAGGCAGGCTGAGGCTGACAGATATGCTTATACACATCGCTGTTAGGTGGCTTTGCCAGGATATTTTCTACCAGCCAGGGGAGAGGCGGGGGAAGCGGACCCCGTCGATCCTTGGCCCTGAGGTCCTCCCTGACGCCGCTGCAGCAGGTCCCGGGGCTTCTCGCAGCTCCTGGAAGCCCTTGCTGGGCCAGGCAGCGGGCTGAAAGCGGTCAGGAGGGCGGCCGAGCGGGCCCCCGAGGGCCCCAACAGGCCCCAGGCACAGCCAGACACCCACCACTGTACGTCCGAAGACGACCAAAAGAAGACCCCCAAGATGCCTGCGAAACGCGAACAAGCATGGATGTCCAAGGGTGCTCGTGGGAATGCCATGTGTTTCTGTCTTCCAGGCGTCCGAGACTGGCCAGGAGGCTGGAACACCGCCCCAAAACTGCCCGAAAGGGCTTCCAGGGAGTCTAAGGAGGCTCCAGAGCAGCCCGGCAGGATCCAAGGTGGCCCGAAGAGAGCCCCATGACGGCCCAAGATAGAAACGCGCCCCGGAGCACTCCACATCGTGACCCCTCCTCCTCCTCCTCCTCCTCCTCCTCCTCCTCCTCCTCCTCCTCCTCCTCCTCCTCCTCCTCCTGGTCGTTCAGGGAGGCCGCAGTTGGAAGCGTGGTGGCCCAAGGGAGCGCCCAGAGGCCCCCAGAAGGCGCCCAGAGGCCTCCACACGGCCCCAAGAATCCTTTAAACTTTCGTGCGGCCCCCAAGAGGCCTCCGCAAAAAGAGCTGAGGAGGCTAGAGGAGAAGTCGCGGGGTAGGCGAGAATGAGGAGACATGAGGGAGGGACAACAACTCACATTATTATTATGACGACCATGTCGGACAAGGCAACACCGAGTTATCTCGAATGTGTCGGTATACCTTCCTGTCCTTCCGCCTGCATGCCACACTTCACCGGCCAAAGTGCATGGCGCGAAGCGCCAATGCAGTCTTGTTTACATACATATATACATGTATATGTGTATTGTGTGGGAGAGAGAGAGAGAAGGCGAGAGGGAGAGAGGATAGAGAGAGAGAGAGAAAAGAGAGAGAGAGCGATACCGAGAGATAATGAGAGAAAGAGAAAGAGACCTCAGCCTCATCTTCGCAGCGGAAGCGGCCCGTTCCAGACATAGCTTAGCCAGCACAACTGCTGCCACTGGGGCGAATTTGGTTTCGTATGATAATATGAACATGATGGAGGAGGATGGGGATGATGATGATACGGAGGATGAGGATGAGGAGGAGGATGAGGAGGAGGAAGAGGATGAGGAGAACGTGGAGGAGAACGAGGAGGAGGAGGACGAGGACGAGGACATGGCGTGGAGGTGGACGAGGGGAAGAGGAGGATGAGGATGAGGATGAGGATGAGGATGAGGATGATGATGATGATGATGATGATGATGATGATGATGATGATGATGATGATGATGATGATGATGGATGATGATGTGATGATGATGATGATGATGATGATGAGGAGGAGGAGGAGGAGGAGAGGAGGAGGAGGAGGAGGAGGAGGAGGAGGAGGGGGAGGATGAGGATAATCAGGATAATGAAGGATGTGGATGAGGATGAGGATCAGTATGAAGATGCTGCTGTTGCTGCTGCTGATGATGATACTGATGATGACGACGATGACGAGGAGGAGGAGGAGGAGGAGGAGGAGGTCGGAGGAACCAGGAGGAGCCAGGAACTCGGAAGAATGAGGAGGAACCAGGAGCTCGGAGGGAGAAGGGAGTATTGAAGAGGGGAGGAGGAGGAGAAGGAGGAGGAGGAGGAGGAGGAGGAGGAGGAGGAGGGAGGACACAGGAGGCACGTGGGTGGAGGGAAAACGGTGGAGGAGGGGGGAGGCGGCGACACGGTGCCTCCGCCTCTGCCCGTGCCCCCCACCCCCCCCCCCCCCCCCCCCCCCCCCCCCCCCCCCCGCCCGCTCCCAGCGACGTGCCACGCACTCGCGAGGAGACACCCCCAGGGCGCAGGCCCTGCGCACGGGAGCTCCGCCCCCCCCCCCCCGTTCTCGCGCCGCCGCCGCCGCACCGGCCGCAGCGCCGGCGGCCTGGTGGCACGGCGGCCGCCGCCGTGCCGCGAGGGATAAAGCGATGCCATGAGCACGTCGGGGTGCTATAGCAAGGGCTCCCTCGAGGGCGCGAAGTTATTCGCGCTTCGCGCTTCGCGGTCCTCGTTCCTTCTCCCCCTCCTCCTCGTCCTAGTATAGCGTGCTCAGCGTGCATACTCAGCGTGCTCGGCGTGGTCTTCGGCGTCGCGGCGTGCATTATTCGGCGCCTCTCCCTGTGGACATCGCGCGGCTGCGGCCGGCCCCCGCCGTGATGCCCAAGCCTCGGACGCCACCCCTTGTGTAAGCTCCCGGCCGCTCGCAAGCAGTCTTTGGCAGCGTGCTGGGGTGACGCCGACTGCCTGCTGCCAGGAGTGCTTCCTCGGAGCAGCCACCGCGCGTCCCCACGCGGCACAGCGAGAGAAAGAAAGAAGACGACGTAAATACGAGCTTTTTGGCGCTCCGCGCGGACTTCTTGGATCCGCGCTGGGCCACACCGGCGGCGCCTCCAGTGCCGCCCCTGGCTCCGCGCGCCAGGGAGGGGGATCCAGCGCGGACCCAAGAAGTCCGCGCGGAGCGCCAGAAGCTGATGTCTAGGCCGTTTTCTTTGCTTTTGTTTTTTTCTTCTCTAGTGCCACGTGGGGACGCGCGGTGGCTGCTCCGAGGAAGCACTCGTGACAGCAGGCAGTCGGCGTCACCCCAACATGCTAACACTGGGTGTGCGTCGCCCCCCCAGGGGCGACGCGCGCACCGAGAGAGCTTCCAGTGCATGCGCCGTGGCGGGCGCTTTCTGGCCACACCGCCCGCAGAACGATGTACTACGAGATGGGTGTACTATGTGTTCGGGTCGGACGCGCGCCTCGAAGGAGGGGACATGTCATACGGGTTCCATCTGACGGCTTTGAACATCATTCGAGACGATGGCTTTTATCCTCGCGCCCCTGATGGTTGATGTCCATCGCCCCGACGGATGCCATGTCAGACAGACAGGCGCCCTCTCCCCTTTCCCAGCGGCCACTGACCGTCTCCGCCCGACGGTTGCCCTCGGTGACGCTGTCAGACTCCCCGCAACCGTTCCAGCAACGCCAGTGCTGCCGGTGTCTGACAACCAGCCAAGTACCCAGACCCCCGACGTCATGATTTGTTCCTTACGTCGACCCCCAGAAGTCCTCCCGACCCTTTCCCCATGACCGGCTTCGCATCCCGAGCCTTTTTTTGTTGACGCTCCCGAGGCCCGGCGAGGGCCCCCGGAGGCCGAAGATGAGGAAGCACCTCCCGCCATGATCTTTTCATTGCTCGAGGGGGTCTGGGCAGGCGGCCAGCAGAGCCCACAGCGAGGCAGCCGACCGGGCAGCCAACCGGGCACTCCGCGGGGCGAGCAGCCGGCCAGGCAGCCCCCGGGGCAGCCAGCCGGGCAGCCAGCCAGGCAGCCAGCAGGGCGCGGCCAGCGAGGCAGCCGCCCCCCCCGCCACCGCCCCCACGGTCCGCCGTCCCCACCACCGTCCCCACCACCGTCCCCCCCGCCGTCGTGTTTTTGTTATGTTTTTTTTGTTTTTGTTTGTTTTGTGTGTGTGTTGTTTTGATGTTTTATTTTGGGTGTTTTTTTTTTGTTTTTGTTTTTTTGTTGCTTTTTTCCCCCCACTCATCATGGTCCTCACGGTCCCCGCCACCGTCCCCGCCGTCCCCGCCACCGCTCCCGCCACCGCCCCCGCCGTGCCCACCGCGGTGCCCACCGTCCTCGCCACCGTTGCCGCCGGCGTCGCCGCTCCAGGGGGGGGAGAGAGCCCACGCGGCGCCCCCCCCCCGGCGCGAGCCCTCCGCTGGGCCTCGGGGCGGCGCTGTGCCAGCAGCAAACTAAGGGCAATCTGAAGGCAAATCCATAGGCATTTTTGTTTTCAATAGGCAAACCCTTCTCTCGCGTTGACATGCTTTCTATGGATTTTTCTTCATCGGTTTCCAATCGGCAAGCCCTCTTGTCGCGCTGAAAGACTTTCTATTGATTTTCTTCATCAATGCGAAAAGAAGGGTTCGCCTACTGTAGAATAAAACACACTTGCCTGTGGCTTTGTCTTTAGATTGCCTTTAGTTCGCCTTCAGCCCGTGGTGGTACGGAGTACCGCCATTGGCGTGAAAAGCGCCCACCAGGCGTGGAGGTCAACGCTGATGTACTAAGGACCCCCGTGACCCCAACTTCAATGTTGAAAGCGTGGCTGCCTTGGCGGTGAAGATTTGGGCGTTCTTTTTATGCCGATGCTTGCACCCCGACAATGGCCGCGAACGCAACATTGAAACGGGGGGTCTAGGGACGGGCATTTCGCGGCGTCGTTTCTAGATTGGCGTTTTTCACGCCAACAGCGGTAGTACGTCTCTGTGCGCCCCAGACAGTCCACCTCCCGTCCTCGCAGGCCTTCGCGAGGCCTCCAGACGTCCCGGCGACGCAGGAGTAGCAATCGTCGCTCCGCCTGACCACAGGACGCCGTCAGCTCGTGCAACCTACCAGAGCTCGCCTGCTGAAAGGCGCTTCTGTCACTCCTCCTCCTCCTCCTCTTCTTCCTTCTGCTCCTCCTCCCTCCTCCTGCTGCTCCTCCTCCTCCTTCCTCCTCCTCCCTCTTTCCTCCCCTCCTCCTCCCCTTCCCCTCCGCCTCTCCTCCTCCTCCTCTCCTTCCTTCCTCCTCCTCTCCTCTCGTGCTACCCCCTCCCCCTCCTCCTCCTCCTCCTCCTCCTCCTCCTCCTCCTCCTCCTCCTCCTCCTCCTCCTCCTCCTCCTCCTCCACCCGCCAGGGCCACGTCATCGCCTCCTCGCATTCGTCGAGCATGTCCATCGCCTCCTCGCCCAAGTCCGGGTCCTCTGTCGGCGCCGCCTCGGCACCCGCCAGTGCGGCGTCCGCCAGCCGCATGACGTCGCCTTCCGTTCGCTCGTCCACAGGACTCCTCTGGGCGCCAGTGCCGCTCTGCTCTCCTCGCCGCAGCTCCTCCCCGAGGCGTCCCGCCTCCGGTGCCCAGTCGGCCGCCTCGGGGACTTCCTCCTGGAGCGCCTCATCCTTGACCTCGTGCTCGCCGTGCACGGGGGTGTCGTGCTGGCACGTCTTGCCCGCCTGCTCCTCGGGGCGTGCCCCCTCTGCCGCCCGCGCTGCCTCGGACTCCGGCGGCGGTGGCGCCTTCTGCTTCGGGGCCGTCTCCGTCTGCGCCGTCGGGCTCCTCGGCGGCCCGTCTGCCCGCGGGCACGAGGCCCTCCTCGCTGCCATCCGCCCGCCCGCTGTCTTGGCCGTCGGGCTTCGCCCCCTGCCCCTGCCGGCGCCGCCACCTCTGCCGGGCCGTGCGGCCACCCGGGCCTTTGGGCGCCGCGTAATGGGGGGGTCATAAATGGGGGGGTGGCGAGGGTGGTCCGAAAAGGTACCCAAACGGTACCTATAAACGAGCCCCCTGGGGCTCTGGAGGGGCCCGGAAGGGGCACGAAAGGGGACCTTTTCTGACCCCCCCCATGTGTGACCCCCCCATTAAGCCACGCCCAAGGCCTCCTCTTCGCCCGCTGCTCGCCCGCGCCTGCTCTGGCAGCGGCGCGTCGGCTGGCGGGGAAGGGCGGCGGCTTGGGCGCCCTGGGCTGGACGAGCTTCCGGCGCGCCTCTCTCTGTGCCGAGCTGCCGGGGCCCGTCGTCGGTGCGCGTGCGTCCTGGGCTTGCCCGTGCGGGCCTGCAGCGGCTCGTGCTCGTGGTCCAGGCGCCTTGGGAAGGAGGGATGGCGCAGGGAGGAGGGAGGGAGGGAGGCGCGTGGAGCGGGGGAAGGGGGGGGGGAGGGAATAGGAGGCGCAGGAGGGGAGAGGAGGGATGACGGCGGAGGAGGAAGGGAACTGTGATAGCGGCGGCGGTGGTGGCCGCGACCACGACGACGACCATGGCGACGACCACAACAGCGACAACGACGGCTACGACGACAACATACGAATACGGCGACGCAAAGACGACGACGACGTCGTCGGCGGCTGCGGCGGCGGCGGCGACGACGACGACGACGACGACGACGCTGACGACAACGGCGAGAGAGGCGCATCGGTGGCGAGCTGGAACTCCAGATGGACGCGAAGGGGCAGCAGGTGATCCACGTCACGGCCGCAGCCAGGCGCGCGATGGCCGTTATTCTCAAAGAAGCAGGGGGGGGGGGCAATGACGAGGACGACGAGGATGCAAAAGAGCAGGGGAGAGTGAGAAAGCGCGGGTAAGCAAGCGGATAAAGAGGGGCAGTCGACGGATGATGGAGGAGGATGAAGAGAAACAGTAATGCGATAAGAAAGGGAGCAGGAGGAGGTGGGAGAATGCAGCCTTCTGACACATCCAGTTTCTCTTCCTTTTCCTCCTTCCTCCTCCTCCTCCTCCTCCTACTCCTCATCTTCCTCCTCCTCTTCCCGCTCGCCGTCCTCCTTCTCTTCTTGCTCCTTATGCTCCACCTTCTCCACTCCCCTCCCTCCCTCCTCGTATTTCTCCTACTGCGTTCGCCGTCTCCTCTTCCTCCTCCTCCTCCTCCTCCTCCTCCTCCTTCTCCTTCTCCTTCTCCTCATCCTCATCATCACCATTCTCACCATCACCACCACCACCATCACCATTACCATCACCATCACCAATGCCATCACCATCACCATCACCACCACCATCATCATCAGCAGCAGGCAACAGCGGCAGCATCATCATCACCAGCAGCATCAACACCATCATCACCATTATCACCACCATCATCACCATCACCATCATCACATCACCGTCACCTCACCATCACCTTCACCATCACCAGCACCATTACCACCACCATCATCAGCACCATCATAACCATCATCATCACCATCATCACCACCAGTATCAACATCATCATCAGCATCATCATCAGCATCATCATCCTCATCATCATCAGCACATCACCGTCACCATCATCATCAGCAGCAGCAAGCTATCATCATCACCATCATCATCACTATCAGCACCATCACCATCATCATCAGCATCCTCATCATCGTCAGCAACAGCAGCATCATCGTCATCGTCGTCATCATCATCATCATCATCATCATCGTCATGCGCATGGTAATAGTCATGCTCGTCATCACCAGCATCGGCATCGGCATTGTCACCATCATAGTTAGCATCATCATCACCACCATCATCTCCATCGTTAGTGTAGCCATCATCGTCAACATCATCAGCATCATCATCATCACCACCATCATCGTGGTCACCACCATCACTATCATCACCATCTTAGTCACCATCGCCAGCACCACCATCATCACCACCATCACCACCACCGTCATCATGATCAACAGCAGCATCATCATCAGCATCTGCATCAACATCAGCATCAGCATCACCATCTCCTCTTGTCCTTCTTGCTTGCCTTCCTTCCCCCCCTCCCCTCCACCCTCCCTCTCCACCCATCCTCCTCCACCCCCATCCTTTCCCTGCTCCCTCCTCTCCCTGTGCTTCCTGCGCTTCTCCTCCTCCTCCTCCTCCTCCTTCTCGTCCTCCTCCTTCTCGTCCTCCTCCTCCTCCTCCTCCTCCTCTTCCTCCTCCTCCTCCTCCTCCTC